TCCAACTCAGTGAGCAAAGACAACTTTTGCCCTCAAAATGTGCAGCGTACGTACGTGAGGTCAAACGGGACAAAAGTACCCAATAACTATCGTCTGCAGCCGTACTGAACTGTTATTTTAACTTCTGTTTGATTACCGTTTTGCATTTGCAATCTAACAATGTGCATGTGTTCAATTGTATTTCTTGTGTACCTTGTCTCTAATCTGGGCTAGTGATGCAGGACCTTGGTCCGGCATGGAGTCCGTCTGGTTCGGCTCTTCGGGCTGATTCTCTTTGCTCTTCAGTGCAAGTGAGGTCATGTCAATAATCTCCATGACAAAGTCGTGCACATTCTCCTTCTTGTCGACGCCGCGTGGACGGAGAGAGGAGGGGGAGGTAAGGTGGCCGCAGCAGGAGGGGTGAGAATTGTGCCTTTTTTTGGGAGGCAAGGACGATTTTTTGTCTCTGACTTCCCTCCTCGTCTCCTCCGTCACAAAAGACGAGAACTTGAACTTCTCCTGGCTGGTGATGGCCTTCCGTCCCCCGGCTGCCGGCCTGCCGTTATTGTTGTTTCGTGAGGCATCGTTGGATCTGCAGTCCTCGACGGGTGAGAGGGACGGAGGCGAGGGGAGGGAGGAGCTGTGGCAGGGCAGCTCCCCTCTCAGCTGTCCCACCAAAGAGGAGGCACGTGTGGACAGGAAGGGGAGGAGCTCGCAGGACGGCGACGGAGGAAGCTGCTTCGTCGAGTTCAACTCGATAGTTTTCACTATCAAGTCGCCGACGTCCTGAGCTGACTCTGCTGTTTTGGCGAACATGTAGGACTCCCTCAGCGACTCTCCTTTCTTTGTGAACACGCTCGACTCCTCTCGGAGGAGCTCGTCGTCCTCGTCTTTCCCCCTCAAACAGCTCTGGTCCACGTTCCCGTTCTCCACGTCGTCCACAAACTGGCTGATGTAGCTTCTCGTTGCGTTCCTCCGGTTCTCCTCCTCTTCTTCCCGTTCCTTGTTGTCTCTTTTGGTTTTGTTGTTGCTGCTATCGGTGTTGGTTTCTGTTAATTTCGGGCAGTTTTGAAAGCGGTGAGAGGAGGAGGTGAAGGCGGAGGACAGGTTGGTCCCACACTGCAGCTCGTCCCGGAGGACCGCCTCTGTTTTAGAGGAGGAAGATGAGGTGCGAGGAGATCGGATCCAACTCTGCAGCTCCCTCTTCATGTACTCCAGCCCCAGGACGTAAGACCCCTCCATCTCCTCTTCGTCATCGTCTTCGTCGTTACCGGAAGAGGCACCGCTCAACCTCTCCCCGTCTTCGTCCTCTCCGTCCCGAACACCGAGCTCCTCCTCAGTGAGCGTGAGCGTGGAGGACGACAGAAGGTCGCTGTCGTCCTCGTCTTCGTCCGTGCACGCCGACGTGCAGGAGACGTTCACCAGCAGGCTCAAACTCGCCGCATCCGCCTCATCCATGCCGTGCCCTCCTTGGCTGTTTCCGTGGCAGCGTTTCCTGCAGGAGCTCGAGTTGGCGTTGGATGACGCGGCGGCGGGATCCAGGAGGAGGTGGCGTTGATTACGGAGCGTCGCAAAATCTTCAGACCCCAGAGAAGAGTCCTCGGTGCTACTCAGCTCTGTCAGCGACGCCGTCGCCGAACTCTCGTTGATCAGGGACGGCGGGCCTTTCCGCGAGGAGCCCGACAACCCGGAGAGGGGGGCGTGACGACCACCGAGAGACGGCGAGGCGGGGATTCTGCCCCGCTGCAGGGAGCCGCTCCGAAGCGTCATGTCAGAAACACTGCGGGTCATTTTTGCTGCCAGAGGACTCTGGATGTTCTCCAGGCGTTTCAGGAGGTCGAGGGTTCTCCGGCTGAGCTCCCCAGAGCTCGGTTGTCCTTGCGCGCTTTCATTGTTCCTTCCTGGATCGCCTCCGTCCAGGTCTCTGCTCTGCCCCAGGTCCAGCTCCCCGAGGCTGGCCAGGCTGCCTCCGGTCTCTTCGGCGCTACGACACGGGACCAGGCAGCTCTCCAGAGAGGCGCTACGATGCAGCTGGTCTTTGGAGGGGAATAACTCCACACCCATAGCCAGGAGGGACTCCAAGGAGGAGCCCTGAGATAATCCGGGGCTGGACGCCCGGTGGCCAAGAACAGGAGGAGTCGCCAAACCGTTAAACAGGTCTACTTTGAACTCCGTGAAGTCACTGCGGGACGTAAAGGGCTTAGAGGAGTCTACGCCAAGTCCTCCCACCTCAAAGTCAGAGTCGGAGTTGGTGGGAGTCAGGATTCCTCGCCTGTTGATTAGGATCTCAACCGCCTCACCTCCTCCCCTCCTGTGCCTCCTCCTTTTCTCCTCCTCTCTGTTTCTTCTGCATTCCTCCCTTCTCTTTCCTTTGTCCTTTATACTCTCCTCTTTCTTGGTTCTTTGGTTGGACTTTGTGACATTGCCTTTGTGTGGTGCCACATGAGTCCCTTCAACTGTTTCTAACTTCCTCTGATTCTTTTCCTCCTCTTCGTCCTCTTCCCCCAGATCCTCTTCCTCTCCCTTGACTTCTGAGTTTGTAGTCCTCGTCTCCGTGTCCCCTGTATCACTAACAATCCCGCTCTCGCTCTCTGACCGCTGACTGCTCGCCGAATGGTCGCTTCCTCTGCCGCTCTCACTCTCCCCGTCCCGGTGTGCAACGATTCTGCTGTATTCTGTGTTTGACATCAAACCTCCCAGGAGGTCCGGGAGGGATTCGATGGAGGAGAACGAGGAGTCCTTACTCAGGCTCTTTAGCAGGAGCTGCTGTTTCCGCATTCCCGATTTAGATTTCTGCAGCGAGGAGGAAGCGTGAGGAAACTGAGGCTGCCTGTATAACTCCACCGTATGGAGGCTGTACACCTGGTAGACGTTATTGTTGCTCGGAGGAAGAGTTTGGGAGATCACATTGGGCCGAATCTCTGAGGAGGATCCGGCCATCATATGGGATGACATCTCAGGACTGGCTGGGACACCAGTTCGAATCCCATCGGGTCGATTCCCGTTGGACAGGATGCTGTCCGAAGGCAGATTTGGCTCTGAGTGGCGGTTGTGCATGAGGTCGGGCTCTGGTGCTTCTTGCGGCTCGAGCTCTGTGATTGTCATATCGGTTTCATCCCATTCCCAGGACTCGTCTAGCGGTGCCGCCACCGGACCGGCTGGGACCAGGCTGATCTGGTGGAGGTCGACTAGACCCGGTTCCAGAACGCTCCCAGGAACCTGCAGACAAAAGGGAAGAAAGAGATTGTTGAGATTGTTCAGAAAGGATAGAGAAGAATCCTGCTGGCTCAGCCGCTAAAGCACAACCCACGAAACCCACAGTAAACTTAAACCTTCAACTTTACAATCATCTTTTACCTTTAATTAAAAAAATAATGATATTTACATTTAATCTAGAAATTTGACATCTGGCTTTTACTCTTCTGAAGCATTTTTAAGAGGAGTGGGCCGCTGTGAAGCGGCCGGGGAGCAACCTGGGGTTCAATGTCTCACTCAAGGACACTTTGACATGCGGGCCGTGCCGGGATCAAACCACCGACCTTGAGCCGCAGCAGCCCCTTAATCCGGCTGCATGTCCAACCTCTTTTCTTTCTCACGCTATGGTGCAACAATCGAGAGCACTGTGAATGAACTGGGTTACTACTGCAGAAAGGACCGAGCATCACGAGTCAATACTGATTTAAAATACAATACATTTAACTTCATATTACATAACCTTGTGTACTGTATGTGAGCTTGATAGTATATTTAAAGGCATCTATCTTCAAAATATCAGCTTTTAAGGAAATAAGATAAAAGAGAATTTCTTCTCCGCTCTGCCGGCTCGACAGCGCTGCCTCTTCGCCAGGTGACCAACATCGCCTTACAGTTATTTCCTGATGTGTTTCTGAAGCCACCGTGGCCACCAGACACCAGGAGTCACCTCCCTCCTCCGTCTGGGGTCGTAAAAAAAAAAAGGATTGCCGGCAATTTGGCTGTAAACTGTTATGGAATTATAGAAATGAGATGAATTACAGATATAAATTATAAACAAGGTTTTCGTGGGTCATCAAATACTCGATTTGATTGGATTAGGCTGATTGATAGCCTCTCTCCCCTCAGCGCTGAATTTGTTTTTGAATGCGTCTGCAGTGGCAAAAACCCAGTTCAGTCATTACCCCCATCTCCCTTATCAGCACAAGGGGAATAAACACAAATCTAATAGAAATTCATTACACAGACCCATATCTGCGCACGCACACACACACACACACACACACACACACACACACACACACAC